CACAGATAGGTATCCAACTACTGATTAATATTAAAAAATATGTTATTGTTTGAAACGATGTATCAAATAAATGTTCAAATAGGTACTATACAGAAATATAACTTCAATAATGGTGGATTAGGTTATTAGCAGTACATTAAATATAGTAAGTTATTCTTATAACTGATATAACGTCAGAAACTACGAAAAAATATCCATAGCTGGGTGCTAGGGTGTAAGTACTATATACAAGATGATTCACCAACCATGYTCGACGAAATTTTTTCTTTTAATAATAAATTTATTCAAATACCTAGTTTGGAATTCTCAATCATTATACTAAGATAATCATCTTATTTTCATAAAATTAAATGTTTTATTCTATGTTGTGAATGCTGTCTTGACGTTTTGTGGAGATTCTATAATTCTTTTTTTTTTGAATGGGAATCGATTTTTATAAAAAGGGTTGATGTATTCAAACCAAAATTTGAACGAATAACTTTTAATTAATTTAGCTCTTTTATACTAAGTATGTTATAGATTGGGCGAAATGGGGATTATGATTTTTTTTTAAATTATTGTAATCAACATTAATCTATCAACCTTTTATATTTTATGAATAATGTTTGAGTTCGATACGTACTATAGATTAAATAACAGATAGTATGCAATATGCTTTATTATAGTTTTGTAAAACCATTTTGAATAAGGACTATTACTATTTATACCTACCTTATTATCAATAATATATTTTAATTACTCAAAACTATTCGGTCAAATTTTAATTATTTACATGCACCATAGTTTTAAAAAAAATTCTCTGCTTTAAAATGTTGAGTTAAAATCATTAGTTCTCATTTAATAAAATTAAGGTTTTATATCGATACAGGACACTCATGTAAAAAATCTTTATATTTTTAAATGTGACTAGTAGGTATACTAATAGTTCATATTAATTTTTATCATAAACTTTAACTCATTATAACGGGAAAAATATGGGTGTGAGTATACTTAGAGAAATAGAGAATCACTCTGTATATAATAGTATAATATAAACTTTAAAAAGAAAATCTACACAGAAAAATAATTATAATGATGTCAACATAGAATTACAAAAAGAGTTGCATACACGTTACATACAGTTGTGTGAACAGTACATATTTAGCCTAATTTTTATCACCCAATACATTTTATTTTATACGCCTAAACGTAAACTTAAACGTTTATCATTTCATTTTTAACACCGAACAGTATTGTGTAGAAATAACATCACAATAATATTATGTATATAAATGTAATTATAAAACTATATAACTACATATTAATAGCATTTTTAATTACTACGTGGTAATGTTGTCACYGCGTTTGTCCTATATCTGTATTTTTTTAAAACAATTCAATGTTTTCAGCGGTTTACAAACTCAACGAGAGTGAAAAAAATTAAATATCCAAAATTAAATATTAAATCTTCAGCGTATACCGTCAGTACTTTCATTCTGAGAGTTTGTACTAAAGAGAGTTTGTAAAAACAAAGTTTTCATTCATATGAACTGAAATACTATTTAAACAACATTGGCAACCAATAACTAC